AAGAATAAAAAATAAACTTTGTCTTCCTGCTAAGCAGAAGAGGCAAGGAGCCTCTTTGACGTATGCATGACTAACCACACTTGCCATTGCTTAGAAATCATCACCCTGTCGGCAAGCTTGAAGGATGTCCACTTTCTTTCAATTGTCTCCCATGGTAGGCTCCAGGCCTAACTGTATCAGCAATGACAAAGCCAACTTCCAAGGGTCTGGAAGAATAGCAGGGAAATTTCTCAAAAGTCTGGGAGAACATCTCTTTCAACCTTTATTTTCCAAGGCTACTCTTGCATCCCACCACTCTCCATCTTTGCCGACATCAGCACAGTCTTTCCTCCAGTAGGTGGTAGTTCCAAGAGAGAGAAGAAGAAGAGAACACTATTCTATTTTGCCAGTTCTGCTACTTTTGATGTTTCCTTACTTTGTTTGCTTTCGTGCTCTTTCAGTGCTAGTGTCATGCTTTAGCTGGCCAGAGGTAGAGGGGAGGAGAAAAGAAGAGTGGGACAGAATAGGAGATAGTGGCAGACAGCTATGGTCCCAGTTCATTGTTTATTTACCAGTCCCCATTAGGGCTTCTCTTACAAATCTACAGACTGTTCTAGATTGCAACAACCTTTCCCTAGCAGCACGTAGTGCTAACTCACTGTGCTCTCCATCTTTACCCCTCACCCTTCCCTGTCTGAATTAGAAGACTCATGGTCCAGTTACACACTTGTCCAACAAATTGCTTGTTTCTCATGTCAAGGAGAGCCTAGGATGTTCCTTTGAATTTCTAATAGTATTGTCTAGTAGGAGGGATAATTGCCATTTCAGGCCCACGGCACAAGTTTTCTGACATTCTTGCTTTACTTCAGTTGTTCCTTCTTGAATTACGCTATCCCATTTCCCCCCAGTGTCCAGTGTCCATCTCACATTCCACTGCTTTTTAAAACTCTCCCGGGTTTCTTCCCCACAGATGTACTATCTTCCTCGTTGTGGTTTTCAGCCTTCCCTCTGTATACTTCTGTAGACGACGTTGCAAATAGCCTCTTATTCACCCATACTAACATTTTATCTGTTCATACAAGATAAATGACTTTCCTGGAAAGAAATATACTTTCTGACTCATATTGATTGCCCTTGCAGGGCGTTCACATGGGAGAGACTTTGCAAACACTCAAATTCACACCATTTTCTGTAAAAGCATGTATTTTTGGTGAATATTGGTGTGGGGAACTCAAACACTATGTGACATAGTGATTATTGGGGGGGGGGGAATGCAAACTTGAGCCATAGATTTCTACATGGATATCTTCTTTAGAAATTGGGCCTGGCCTAGGCTGACAGAGGAAAAGAACGTAGCAGGCAACCACTTGCAAGTTGAGTCTTATACCAGTAGATGTCAGCATGCACAACATCAAAACAGATACAACCTCCGAGCCCTGGTTCTTTTCCCCCATCTGGGCATCTTTTCCTTCAGTAAGAGTCAGGATCCTGTGGTAACAGACAAGAGATCTCCCTATCAGTTTTGTGACAATTCAAGAATAGGTTAGGAGGTGGCTGAGAAAGAAAAAGGACAGGGTTTATCCGTATGCATGAAATTCCCTCCTATTGAATCTAAACAATATAATTCTTCATGTATTGGTGCTACAGTATACATTGAGATGACATGAGGGGCTGGCAAGATGGCTCAGCAGGTAAAGGCACTTACCACCAAACCTGATGACCTGAATTCAATCCTCAGGTCCCACATGGTGGAGAGAACAAACTCCTGCAAGTTGCAGCATGGTCTGTGTGTGTGTGCAGGTGTGGACACACACACACACACACACACATAAAATAAGTAAAAATGCAATATATTTTTTAATGACATGAAATTCCAAGTGGCATATTATAACATAGTTTATTCAGAAACTTGTAACTTCTTTTACTCAAAGATCCTATTATTGATAGAATTTTCATAGGATTGGTAAGTTAAATACTTGTGACCCTTGTAAAGTTGAAAAGTCATTTTAAGATTAAATATTGCAAGTATCTAAAAAGTATAGCCAGTATAATAGACATACTCAACTTAAAAGTAAAATTTTATAGATCCAGTGCTGGTTACTTGAGTACACTTTAAATTTAAGTACATTTATTACATACGTTAGGTATCGTTAATACATCTTAAAACATGGACAAATGCAAGGAAGCTTGTACATATTCTCCTCATGTCATCCTTTTACTGGCTGCCAAAGTCCCAAGTGTGAGATTCTCATGAAGCATTTTGTACTCTTACTTCATTTTCATGTATTCATAAACAACGTGTAATAGTCTTCTATATCTTATAAATGGTGATCCGTTTTGCTCACATTGGTTCATGTATTATTCTAGAGACAGGGCATGTATCAGAAAACAAACAGTTGTGAGAAATTTATCTGCTCTTATATGTGCTTATATCTGAAATTATTATTCCTTTAGTGCTTTGAGAGTATGTCTTTGAAAATTTTTAAAAAGTCATTAGATTTGGGAGAATAACCAACCCGGAGAAATCTCTAGAAAGTGATTGTTTAAACACTGAAGATATTCAGCCAGCCATTTCCAATAACAGGTTCTGAAAGGCATCCATGAAATGTGGAGTTATGAGGGGCAATATTATGAAGTCTATGAAGATATTTCACAAGAGGCAGCTCTGACTTCCACTGAAATGTTAATGTGCTCTCAGATCTAGGTTTTTGTTTTGTTTTTTGTTTTTTTAAGTTTCCGTTCTCAAAGAGGGGCACATGAAGTCAGGATTTAAGCAAACATTATGCATACAAATTTCAATCTCATTCTCCTATTACCAAAGAGATGAAACTCCTTACATTCTTCCTTCTACTTTACCTCAACATAAGTGCTACTCATTTGATGCAAATGATTTTTTTTATCGGGGTCAAAATCAGGTTATCACATACCTTGTCATTCTCTGGCAAAAGTATACTGAACTGATAGTGCTCTTTTAAGAAAGTTTTAGAGGTCAGAAATATGTGAATGTATAATCTAAAGATTCAAAATCTAGTTGTTTTGAAGAGCACTTCAGTTCACAGTTCTGCAAAGCACAGCATCTCACATCTTGTTTTCCTCAAGAGAGTTTCCTTTCTTTTAGTATTTTCATCAATTAAATTATAGTTGTGTTTGGTTACATTTTGCAATTCCTAAGGTGAAAGTGAGGGCATTGGGAGGGAAGTTAGAACTATAAGCAACACAGCATTCTTATAGACACTTTTTCTTAGAATTTAATTGGGTTGCTTTTTACTTATTCTGAAGAACAATTAAGTGAACAGAAAAACATAAAAATAACCATTACTAAATTTCTTTGTAAACCTTGAGGTGAGGAAAAAAGAAATTTTTGACATGGATTTATTCATATCTTCTGTAAATATTTATTGAATCTTCACTGTATATCGACCCAATGACTTAGCAGTTAAGAGTATAGCAGTAAAGAAGACAATGTCTTGGTCCTCATGAAATTGATGTTCTAGTAGATCACAAAAAAGATAAACAAACTAATAAAATAAACAAGATTATCTTAAATAGTAGTAAGCGATATGTAGAAAACAAAATAGAATAAAATAGAGGCCGATGCTGGCGGTATGTGATATTTTAGGAGTAGTTAGGGAAGGCTTCTCAGAGGAGGTAACATTTCAGCAGAGTCCTGAGTGAGTTGATGATATGACCTGGCAATGTAACCTTTGCATAGATACCTAAGAAAAGTGAAAAATAAAACTTTTGCTTACAAACAAACTTGCTCATGAGTGTTCACAGCAATATTATTTACAATAGCCAAAAGAAGTGGGAATAACTCAGCTATCCACCTACTGGATGAAGGGCTAAACAAAAATCCATTCAATGAAGCATTATACAACCACAAAGAAGGAATGAAGCACCAATACAAAAGGATGAACTTCAAAGCTACAATAATTTAAATAACCCAGTCACAAAGGCTGCGTCGTATATAAGTCAATGTTTATGAAATGTTCAGAATAGACAATTTATACAGAAACAGAATATACAACCACGATTGTCTAGGATTGGGGTAAGGATATGTGAAGGATAGGCAATAACAGCTAAAGGATTGCTGGTTTGACTATGAATTATGAAAACGTGGCATTCAATACAGTATTGGTTTCACAATGTTGAATATTCTACAGACCTTAGAATTATTACTGTTGTGTATCATATCCCAATGGAAAGAAAAGAAAGAAGAAACAGATCAGGAATGCTGAGAAAGATCATTACTCATTTCATGATAATAGTAAAACATTTAAAAATGCCCAAGAAAGAGTGTTGGGCAAGTAAGTTAGACCCACAGTGACAGAAGGAAAAGGGATTTCAGGCAGAGAGAGAGAGAGAGAGAGAGAGAGAGAGAGAGAGAGAGAGAGTAAGGGAGAGCAGGCGCAGAGAGAGAGAGAGAGAGAGAGAGAGAGAGAGAGAGAGAGAGAGAGCCATGAGTACAGAGTCTTTGACTGTGAGAAAAGCTGGGCTTATTTGAGGGCCACAAAGAAACCAATTATGGCTCTTGTGGAGACAAAGAAGAAAGATTAGGGTGACAGTGTGGAGAAGAACATAGAGACCAGATAGCACAGATTCTTTCTTAGACCATTTAAATTAATTTAAACTGTTTCCCCCTTTAAACACAGCGAGAAGGAGTCAGAGGGTTTTAAGCAAAGTAATAACATGATCTAGTAGGAATGTTTCAGAGAGCATGCTGGCTGCTTAGTGAAAAGTAATTTGTAGAATTTGGTAAGGGTAGATGCAGAGGAGATACTGTAGTAGTCTAAGCAAAAGATGTCCTGGCTGAAGAGATAAAAGAGAGGACAGGAAAGTGGGGGGATTTAGGACACATTTCAGAGGTAGAAGTATCCAAACATGATGGCATAGAGTGTTGGTGTAACAGAAAGTTATAACTTCTCATTTTTTTGGCCTGAACTGTGAACAAATAACTGTCACTTCAGTTATCTTTTCCAAAAATATTTTATTTTTATTTTTGAATATGTGTCTGTGCGTGTGTTTGTATGGATATATCACATGAACACAGATGCCCTCAGAAGCCAGAAGAGGATGATGTCAGATTCCCAGGAGCAGGAGATACAGGCACTTGTGAATCTTCTGGGGTGGGAGCTGGGAATCGAACTCAATTCTGCAAAATTAATAAGTGCTTTTAAACACCGAGCTGTTTCTCCAAGCCAATTTCATTTATCTTTACATGCCTTTTGGCCTGTAGAAAACAAAGGATTCTGTCTACTTGCAACTAGAACAATCCGTGTACACATCAGTCCTTGTTTCTTTAATCACTCATGTACTATTATAGTTCAACTTTCACTTTTTGCTCTCACACCCTCCAACCCCCACCAACAGCTGTGTGATAACAAAGAACAATCTTTATCTTATGTTTATGCTTCATTATTATTGTTATTTCTTCCAACTGTCCTCACCTGGTACTTAATGTAGACTTTCTAGGATGTAAACTTTCTACAAAGGTCACTACTTGCCCTGTAGTATCTATCAGGGTGGTCAAGCCAGGGTTCAGAACAATGAAAGACTACATTTTTCCTGGGAGTTTCTTGTGGAGCTTTGATTCATGGATGGTTTTCAATTACTTGTGTTAGTCTCCTTTTCATCAGCATAGATAATTGAGTTGGCTCTAAGTCTTTTGATGGGGGTAAAGGTTTTACAATAAAGAGTAAAAAGCTGGCTGGCTTATTTGATGCTGTTGAACTAAAAAGATCTGTAATAATAAATTAATAAGTTCACAATAATGTATTTTCCCCACACACATCCCAGTTTTATAAAAGATTTAGTTTCTAAAATTGCTTTTTTAAAATTAATGAAGATTTCTAAATACAAAACACTTCTTGGTAGGAAATGAAGTAATTAGTATGAAGTTGCTTTTCCATTTTATTATTCATGCAGAATTACACAGTTTCTCATTAAGCTACTTGGAAGGTATTCACCTTTCTTTCAGGTGCTGCTTATGTAAGAGAACTTGAAGGAGACCCTTCTGCACTCAACACGTCTACAAGGTATTGTGTAACTTTTCCTTCAAGCTTGATTTCTCTTGTGTTCCCTCGTCTAATAAAGAGCACTCCCATCCAGCCCATCACCAGAGTCATAAACCTTCTCTCACAGCTCCTTCATTTAATCAGTTACTAAGTCTTATCAGTACCTCCTAAATACCCTATTCATGTTCCTAGCTGTCTTTTTCTCTTAAGCCCTAATGCTGCTGCTTCGAATCAAGCTTCTCTTTGCTGTGGAATATCCAATATTAACTTGGCAAGTCCTTCTGTTTTTGGTCACCTTCCTCCCCAAGGTATAATCCCTGCTACCACTACAGTGTTGTTTTCAATTAAAAAAATTATCTTATTATTTATTTATTTATTTATTTATTTATTTATTTATTTATTTATTTATGTGAGTCTGTGGATATGCACATGCCATAGCACATGTGTACAGGGCAGAGGACAACTTGCAGGAGTTGGTTCTTTCTTTCCACCATGTGGATCCTGGAGGTCAAACTCAGATCCTAAAGGTTGGCAGCAAGCACTTTTACCACGGAGCATCTTACTGACCCTACTGTGTTTTTTTTTTTTTTTTTTGGTGCAAATACCTGGTAGTTAATCTCCTGCCAAAAACTTTCAGTGGCTCCTTGTAGCCTGATGGATAAAGTTCAAGCCCTTAGTACAACACATACATCCCTTTGTTATTTGTCTTCATCTCTTATATCCAACATAATTTCCAGCTCTTTCCCTCAACTCTAGGTATAATGAGTTACTTGTAGAGCGCCTGATGCCATCAGGAGTTATATACCCCATTAACTTCGTAGATACTGTTTCTCTGCCTAGAATAATGCTTTCCTTTTTCTCCCCACCCAGTGTCCCTGCAAATTCTTAACTTCTTTCAAAATGCAGCTCAAATGTCTTCTCAGAGAAACAGCTCCACTCCCTAGAAAGCCCATGGTTAATGAATGTCCATGAATGCTTAAATGCATGAATGGATAAACAATAGACCAGTGCACCACAGGTGGGGAATTGAGGTCTGGAATGGGAACTAAAGAGCAGTGAAAGCTGTGAGAATTTGAGTTAGTATGATTGTATTATGGATGGGAAAGGAAGCTGCAGAGAACAGAATACTAAGAAAAGCAACTTTGTGATTTTTCCTAATTTTTTTGTTTGTTTTGGTGTCTGTTTGTACAGTGTTAGGGATGAAACCCAAGGCCTCACATATGCTAGATAAATTTACCACTGAGCTAAACTTCCAGTCAGGATGTCTTTTTAAAGAAATGTATCAGGGCTGGAGAGATGGCTTACTGATTAAAGAGCAGTGACTACTCTCACAGAGGATGGAGGTTCGATTTATAGTACCCACATGGCAGTTAATAACTGTCTATAATTCCATTTTCAGGAGATCTGACTCCCTATTCTAGCCTCCTTGGACATTGCATGCACATAGTGTACTTACATACATATAAGCAAAACATTCATGCATGTAAAATTTTTGAAATTTAAAAAGTTTCATTAGTATATATTCATTGTACAAAGCAATGGGTTTCATAATGGCATATTTGGGTTTTTAAAAATATTTTATTTATTATTTTTATGTTATGTGTATGAATGTTTTGCCTGCATGTATGTAAGTGCACCAGTGTTTGCAATGCCCACGGAGGTTGAAAGAGGGCACCAGATCCTCTGGAACTGGAGCTAGGATGGTTATTAGTCACCATGTGGGTGCTGGGAATCAAATCTGTGTCTTCTGCAAGAGTAGCCAGCACTCTTAACTACTGCGCCATCTCTCCAGTACCTCATAATGGCATATTTGTTCACATGTATCTTGTATTTTGACCATATTCACTCCCCTCCCTCTCCTGCTAGTCTATCGTCTTCTTTCCAAATAGTCATTTGACTTTCATATCGTTTGTGTGTGTGTCTGTGTGTGTGTGTGTGTGTGTGTTGAGAGAAAGAGAATCCAGGATCCATATATGAGAGAAAATATGTAGCATCTGTCTTTATGAGTCGTGTTTATTTTGTTTAATATGATGACCTCCAGTTCCATTCATTTTCTTGTAATCTTTCTCATACTTACACTTTTATACTTACACTTAGTTAATACAGTCCCAAAAAGTGAAGCATAGTAACTACTGAGCTGAAGTTCCTGGTAGAGAAAGGCTCAGAAGTAAGCCTTCTTAGAAAGAGGGAGACACGTTCATGTTGAAATATACATAATGCTTTGTTATTACAAATAGAGTTATTGTTTTCACATAAATCAAAAGAAGTACATACAACAAACATTTCTAACGATGCCTAATTTTTGAGTACTTTTTCTTCAAGCAAACATAATCTGAAAGGATTGTCAGGAACATTAGAAAGAAAGGTAAAGTCTCTGCGTGACATACTTCTCACTATGACTTTTTATTTTATTTTTAAAAATTTTATTGAGCTTTTGTAATTTCATACAGTAGTCCTTGATAAAATCCAGACTCCCTTCCCCATCCATGCCCCCCTTCACCCCACCAGACTTCGTGAATTTCACCATACATGTTAAATCCTATCTAGTCAAGCATTTGTACCCAAACATCCTTGAGTGCAAACAGATCCACTGAAGTCTAATCAGCCCATCTAGAGATGGCAAGTAAAGCACACTCTCCCTCTCCCAGCAGCAATCAGTTTCCAATAGTTCTCAGCCCACCACTCATTTCTCTTCTCCCCTCTGGACCCTTGTTTATTTGAGTTGGCACAGGGCTTGTGCTCAATGCCACCGTTGCCACAAGTTCACATGTGCAAGCTTCCAGTGGCCAGAAAACCTCGGCTTCACCATGTTCATGAACCAGTCCTGGCTCTTACAATCTTTCTGCCCCCTCTTCCACAATGGTCCCTGAACCATGTATGCGTGAGGTTCAATATAGGAGTCCTATCCAGGGATACACACTTTGCAGTCTCCCATTGCCCCAAACTTGGCCACTTGTGGTCCTTTGTGTGCAACACACTCTGTTGTATAAGGAATCTTCACTGGTAAGAGTTGAGGGATGCATTAGTTTTCTCTCTACCCCTCATTGCACTATATTCCATGAATCTTAGGTTCAGAGATTCAACTACACATGTGTCACCTAGGACTGGGCGTCTCTCAGACATATATTCTCTATGTCTGACCAGTTGTGGAACTCTACAGTAGCCTCCATCTGTTGCGAAATGAAGCTTCTTTGATGAGTAGTATATGATACGCTTGTCTGTAAATATATGGATCCATATTTAGCATATGATAAGAAATTTCATTTGTCCAGAGATATGACAGAGATACAGTTTTCTCTAGGATCCACATCCTCTCTAGCCATGTGTATTTGGCTGAGTTTACAGTGTCACCCATGATTTCACTCCCATTGATAGGGTTTTTAATCCAACTAGATAGCTGTTGATTACCCACCCCCAGATAACAGTGCCTCTATTGCACCAATAGAGGTAGTCTGCCATGCCAGTCATTATGGTTATTATGCTTTAGGACTGGGTTGGACCATTGATTGATTTTTCTCCCTTAGAAGTTTGCATATTATAATCTAGTATTATCAGAGCTAAACTTCAGGTAAAAGGCTTCCAGGTCAGTTCCTACTCCATTGCTCCAAGTCCTGTATCAGAAGGATTTCCTATCTTCAGCAGTAGGGTCTTTTTTTAAATAAATAATTTGTTGAGAATTTCATACATGCATATACGGTGTATTGATCAAATCTATGCCCACTCCCTCCCCTCTAACTCCTCCCATATTTCGCCATCACTTTTTTCTGATGACTTCATGTACTCTTTCTTCTTCTTTGATTGATTTATTTTTTATGGGACTTTCGGCTACTCTAACATTCCCCCCTCTGAAGAGGTAACCCTAAAATCTTTTAAGGATTAGACATAAGCTCCCAAATACTTTTGACATTTTTGGCCTTTGGAACAGAGTATGTTGCTAAGAGGCCCAAGGACATTGTGAGTTTTAGCCAAGA